ATTTTACTAATAGCAAATCGTTCAGTGGGCCAAAAGAAAAAAGGTAGAAAGTCAGAAGCTTGACTTTCAGTGCGAAAATTTGAAAACACAGCGGACTATTTCGTACCTCCTCCCCTTCGTAAGCTCTCTGCCTTTTCACTGTGATACATCCGCGGTCCCAAAAGCGCGTCATCGGGTCCAAACTGACGTCACACGAGACCGGACCTCACTTAATCCCTTCACCTCTAAGTTGACATTGTTGTGGAAGCTACGCGCTTGCCGGACCAATCAGCCGCCTCCCTTTCATCACCTGACCTCATTCTCTGCAGCCACATTTGCCACGCTCACGTGGCAAGTGAGGCTGGCTGAACGAGCACGTAGCTTCCACAGCACTGTCAGCTTCTGGGTAAACGGGTTGGGAAAGCAACTTTTGTTTGAATTGTGAGCGACGGGCTAATCTTCTAGGGGGACAATGACTCTGTCCGGGTACGCAATCCAGATTCCGAGCGAGAGGAGCCTCCCTTCTTTTCTGAACTGTTTGGTGGAATGCGCGATTTATGAGTTGAGGAGGAAAGCTAAACAGGAAAAAGTTGGAAAAGCGTTTCATGACCCCTTTAAGGCCCCTGTCCTTACAGAACATGCATTAGTGGCGCCCTCTCGAGCCGTCAACACGGAGTGTGGCAGCCGTGACCGCTCGCCGAGCTCGTTAAGCGCGATCCAAACCAACGCTTCTTTTTGCGCCTGTAGGTCGTGCGGCTGCGGATGTGACGCATTTCGTGGCGTTTTTGCTGTTTCCGGGCGCGCTTTCTGAGTCAGAACCGTGCGCTTTGGTTTGGACGGGCGAAACCTCGGCACGAGCGCACAAGCAAAGTGCAACTGCGACAGTCTGGCCGGCCAGACGGCGAGAGAAAGAGAGAGAGAGGGAGATCGCGTTGTCATGTTGGAAGAGAATAAAAGGGGGGGAGGAGAGGGCAGCCAGACGGCGAGAAACGCGGAGCCGGAACTAGCTTGCCCTCCACCGATTGGCCGGGACACAGGAGCGCCCTACTACGTCACCGCGCGTTGAGAAGTTGAAATTATCCAACTTTCTTGTGCGCGTCCGGAGGAGCGAAGAAGCGGCGCGACGTCACGAAAATACGTCACATCCGCAGCCGCATGACCTACAGGCGCAAAACGAAGCGTTGGTTTGGATCGCGCTTTACCCCTCCTCTAGTTCACGGCCACTCAAGCGACCAAGGACATCATGAAGGAGGTTACCTTTTGCTTGTTTTTGTGATTTTAATTTGCCTATAACTTTTAAAATAAAGCGAAATCCAAGAAAATAAAAGTTTCATTAAATTACTACGTTAGGTGCGCTCAGGCTCGATGCAAAATTAAAAACCATTAAAAAGTCCTTTAAGATGTATCGCAAACACTTTGCCAGACTTAGTGTCTCGTTACATGTGTTGTCCTTTTTAAGATAAATTAAAACCTAAAACCATCTGTTTGGTGCAAGTTGCTTCGTAATCTATAATATGGACCCGTCCTATAACATGATCCATCTCAGTCACCGAAATTGAAAAAAAATCTCTGGTTTAGAAAGGGTTATTGCCAAGGATAACAAAATCAGCTCCTCTCACAAAGTCCTCCACTCTTTCCAATTTAGCAAAGAGAAAGCTGTAAAGGAGTTGAGTGAAGAAAAAGTGTGGTCCCGTTGTCCAATCTTCCCACACTCTGGG